ACGATCAGTTAGAGCAGGCACAAAACTTTTCCTTCTCTCAGTCTGCTCTCTCTTTTTCTCACCGTCTCAATTCTTCCACAAATCTAAATCAATTGAGCCTCAAGTGAAACTCTTATCCAATCCCACGGTTTCAAAATTTTTTTATTATTAAAATTTCAATTATTACAATCTCCCCTCATAAAAATTTCGTCCTCAAAATTTGAAAAGTAAGCATACAATAGTTGAAGAGTTGGGGATATCTTTATTGTATATCTAAAACTTTCTTTGTGATAACATCTTTTTCTGATCCATGTCTCTAAAGAATTTACAAATAAAAATTTTCTATTACGAAGCTTCTTCACGTCATAATTCAAAATCCTTTTAGGCTCTTATATAAGTCAAACTAGGTTGCTGTATCTCCACTAACTGTTTGGGGCAGCTGCGGCTTAATAATAAGTTCCTGCACAACAGCTGCCGTAGAAAACAACTGTGCGGAAACTGCTATGGATAAGCTGACTGCCTGTTTGTTTTTAACAGCTGTGCTGCAACTGTTTATAGACAAATGACCATTCTGCCCATGTATAGTAATTTTGTTTGCAACAAAATTATTTATACCAGCACATTCTATACTTTATAGAAGTAAATATCCAGTCCAGAATATTATAAAATAAATATAGATATCTAACTTAACAATGAGTAGCATGACTATTAAAATTAAGAAAAAAAACTATTAAAATAAACAATTAATAATATGATATTATTATTTTTAAAATACAGACGATGTAACTGGCTAAGCTGTTCTCAAGGGATACTCTCCATACCCGATCACTCTTGGCGGTAGAATCTTTCAACTTATCCGCCCGCTAAAAATAGTCACAGTTTTTCATGAGTCTTTATGGGCACCTGTAAAACTGTCTTCCGTAGTTATGTGACTATCGTGAAGTTAGCAGAGATATTTGAAGTTCACAATACCTATGCAATCCTCTGGAGGTAACAAAAATCCTCAAGCTCATCTTTCCTGAATGTTAAAAAGACATACTCTTAAACATAACGCCAGTAAAAATTGATAACATAAGCAATTAATTACAATTAATGCAACTGTGAGGTCTTAAAGAACTTAATATATATATAAACCAAAGAATCTGTCACCACAAAAAATTAACATACCTTAAAAAAAGGTTATTGGTTGCTTTTAACCCACACAATATCAAGCTCATGTCTGTCACATTTACATACCACTAAAAATGACAATCTATAAGAGCCTAAAAAACTGTAGCACCGAAAAAAGAAGAAGAATTTGGTTGCATTCATTAGAATTTTATATGTGACACCAACCAATAACAATATAAGTCATCCAGAAGGATTCATAAGGTCAAATGTCTCATCATAGATATCCAAAACCCACAAAAAAAAAAGAAATGCAAAAGGAAAAATTTCACATACAAATTGTGTAAAAAATCAAATCAATAAATATCAAATGCATAAGGAACATAAATAAACATGAACTGTATAAAATTTTAATACACTAAACAGTGAATGTTTTCAACAACCATTATAATTAATAATATGATAGAAATTAACATTCACTACAATCACCCTCCAACTATCACATATGTAGTTCGTTCCCTTAACTTTGTCATCTCGTTTGCACCTTCCTCGCCTTTAGAGCAGGTTTTAAGAACATAATTTGTATCTGTTTGGGAAACAAATAAGTTGACATATCGCGAACTATAACACATTTTTTCTTTTAAACACCAAAAATCCGCTCAATGAAGTCTATGATTTCTGTGCAGTTTATCTAACAGATCAGTGAATACCGTTTGTGTCATGCTGAACATATTACTAAATCTCGTTTGGTGGCCCGCAAACAACTCCCCAACCTATTTGTCGCCATCATATGCGGATGTCATGCAAGGGAAATGCTCTATGTACGAGTTATAATATCCGTACATCAAACATTCGGCAGCTACAACTTTTCTTTTGCGCTTTTCTCCTTTAGATCAGGATCGATTCCACTGTATTTAAATTTTTTTGCAGCATGCACCACCTACAAATTCATATAACATATTGTTGGATTTGAAAACAAATTAAAAATTGACAAAAATAAGAGATTTAAAAAATGCTTATCGGTCTCTCTACCCACCATTCATTGGAAACATCAATTATTCACTTTATCGGATTCCACCCCAAGCTCATTAATCATTGCTTCAATTTATTCGAGATTTTACAATCATTTTTTAGTTGATCACACTTATTTTTTAACTGCATCCTATCATACTTTCTATCAATATTTTTCTTAAATTTTTTAATAATATTTTGTCAGCTCTCCTTGTTGGAATAAGTTGTCGGCTTATAACCCAATTCGACTTTCTTGGGGCAAAGTTTGCAAAACATTATTTTTGTCTCTTTATCCCAATTTGTAGATGAACAGGTCTCTTTTACCTTAATTCTTGTATTACTAGCATGAAAAAAACTAATTAGTATAAATAAGAATGTTACAATATCACAACTCAAGGAAAAATAGGAATGCCACAATAGCATCAACAATGGCCTTGCGCACCACACCACTACACCACCTACACATCACCACTGCCACCACTACACACATTCACAATATCACTATCATCACCTTTATAAACACACACATCCACAAACCACTACCACCACCACCTCCACACAAACCACCACTATCACCACGTCCACACACCACCACCTCCACACATCCACCAACACAACCACACACCAACCAGCACCTCCACATTCACACACCAACACCTTCACATGCAACACCACTACCACTACCTCCACACACAAACAACTCAACACACCAACACATCTGCAACAACATTGTCATCACCTTCACACATCAAAATATGGCTCATACACGTTCCAAACAATTTATATTTCCAAACGATTGCACGTTCAATCAACACCGCCACAAGAACAGAATAGAGCAAATAAAAAATCATATTCTCATTGAATTTTCTTTTCTAATTCTTTGCATTTTTTTTTTATTTCTTACTGTGAAGACATGATTCAACAAAAACCACCCCCATATATTCAAAATATACACAACACCCGAAACATTGCTTTCTGCAAAAATCTCAACCAATATTCGCATTCGAAAAGAATAACAACTGAACAGAGCAACGCTAGAGCAAAATCGCAACTGCTATGTATGTTAGGTATGTAAATATCCCAGAATGAAGAATGAAAATGCAAGGCATAGGGTTTGTTCAGAGCAAAGCTCACAAACCGCACAAGAAAAGACAGGGAATACCAAAATAAAAAATCCACCCTCATATTCCAAAGTCATTTCACATGGAATTCCAAACAGAGAAGAGAAAACCAAATCCCAAAATCCAACATCAACCGAAAGGCATTGTTTTCGAAGGTCAAAAACCACAACAAAATAAGTTAGGGAACACCATAACATAAGCAGAGCCAAACCTAAAAAACCACAACACGAAGAGGAACCACCGCACAGAGGGCGAAGGCAGTGATCCAAACAGAGCAAAAGAACTGAGAGAGGAGAGGGAGGAGAAATTCGTTGAAATGATTCCAGAAAAGCGAGAGAAAAAGAGACAGCATGTTACACCTTCCAATTGCGAGAGAGAGGGATTAGGGCAAGAGTCGCAAGAGAAAAAAAAGATACCACAAGATAGCAAGGGAGAGGGATTAGGACAAGAGTCGCAAGAGAGAAAGGAAAGTGCACGGGATCGTGAAGACATCCGCGCAAAAAAAAAAATTCAAAGAAACGCAGGCCGTAAGATTGAACCCGTGACATCATTTAATCATAGATTTAAAAAAAAAAAAAAGATCGCACCACAACATGCAAATGCGCCTTACTGCGTTTTTGCACCGCACCGCAACTAAAAAGCTGCACCAACTGTGTTGTAAGTGTTGGATATGTAAATAAATCATATTAGAGTGGTATATATGTAAATTTTCTTTTTTTCTAACTTGGAAATATGATAATGGTATGAAAATTAAAACAATGGCTTTGATATCGCCGAAGACCCCTTTTTAAGCAAGCAACCACTTCTTCCTTCAAAAGAAAAATCAGTACATGGTTCATGACTAGAGATTAAAAATAACTTTCCACGCGGCGCTCAATAAACTATAGGGAAATTTACATACTTAGCACACACTTCTTATGTATTTATGTATCTCACCACTAACTTTGATACTTACATACATAGCATTTTAGTATTTTAAACCTACGCATGAAAATGTGTACTTCATTCTTTAAAAATGGTAATAGTGCTATTTTTTATGTGATATTGAGGATTTGAGTGTTATGTGTATAAATAGGAGAGTTGAGGTGTGAGAAATGTAAATACCCCAATAATTTAATGTGCTCTCTATTTGGTGAACTATCCCTACTCCAAATAAAATTTTAATGGTCCCATATTCAATAGAATTTCTGTCTCCCTAAACCTAAATATGACCTACATAAAAAATCATTGTTTTATTGACGTGTCAATTTTCTATTAGATGTGTTCTTGATGGGTCAACTTTCCACTTTCCTAATCTTGCTAGACTTCGAGCCTCATGTGCATCATGTCATGCTTCTCATGCCAAGCTCATGCTTCATAATTTATCTTTGGAGCACATTTCCCATGTATTTACATATCTAACATTTAAACTTTGGTTTTACATTTCTACAGCCAAAATCTTTTGCATAACATTAAAAGTACCACTATTGTAACTTTAGAAAAGTGAAAAGCATATTTTCATGCACAAGTAAGGTGGCATATATGTAAAAATTAAAGTTAATGTGTTAGATATGTAAATAAATAGGAATTGTGCGGTATCTATATAAAAATTCCTTTAAATTTTTATTTATATAGTTGCTAATGGCAGCAAGCATTAGTCAAGTAAAACCAGGACATGTTTTCATCGAATGTCGTTAAACTTAAACAAGAATCTAGTAAGATGGCTATTATGCAGGGGAAGAGACATAAAAAAACACAAAAATGAATAAACTTGAAGACTTCAATAAAACATTTTTTAAATTAATTACCTTCTGCACAACATCAGCTAGTATCTTCACAAGCTGGCCTCCCCAAATAGACAAATCTGTCAAAAAAATTGCATTAGTAACCTTGCACCTTCAAATTTCAATAAAACTTTTTTGAAATCACACTACAAAAGAAAGAATGGAACTACAAAAATATAAAGAATACTTAAAAAAATAGGCTCTCTATTATTTTGTTTGAAGCTTCTAATAACAAAAAAAAGGCATTTATACACATACCACTCACGTCTTTAATATCACATAAAAAATAACACTACTACCACTTTTTAAAAGTGAAATACACATTTTCAATACATAGGTTTAAAGCACCAAAGTGCTATGCATATAAATATGAATATTTAGGTGTGACATATGTAAATAAATAAGAATATATATGTAAATTTTCCTAAAAAAAGTAAAACAGGTGCAGGATTATAAACTAGCAAGGAACATCACTTGATCTACAATTTTTAGGATAGATAGTTACCTGCATGAACCATAGTTCTCCTGTTTTGGAGTGAACATCACAATCAATAGCAATTGTTCAAACTCAAATGGCTTATCAGTTAACGAAATCTTAACATGAATTCGTTGACATCTCTTCATTATGTGAATTGGTTTGATTCATCACACGACATTTTTGGGGAATCAGTTGCAAAATTGGCTTCGCCGACACTGCCTTGTTTGCAGAATCCCGCCATTAATACTCTGTAAGTGGCATCATCTGGTTTGATGCCACGAGTTACCATTTCGTCAAAAAGTTCTGCTGCTTCTTTAAGGTTTCCAACTCTACAATTTCCATTCATCAAGGTGGTGAAGGTGAGCTTATTAGGATCAATGTCGTTCGTGCTCATTTCTGCAAATACGTTGCTCGCTGCTTCCAAGTCGCCAATTTTGCAATAACCGTCGACGAGTGAAGTATAGCATACGACATTTGGTGTTATGTTGTCCTCTCTCATTATCTTAAGAACATCTCTAGCTTCTTCTACACAACCTATACTGCAAAATCCATGCATAAGAATGGAATAAGTCATTTCAGTCCTTGTAATTCCTTTAATTTTCATTTCTTTTACGAGATTGGACGCTTCGTCTAAATTGCCATTCCTGCAATATCCGCCAATTAGTGAATTATATAAAACATGGTTGGGTCTTAAGTTCAAATTCTCCAATTCTCTTAAGAGCAATTTTCCCTTTTCCACTTCCTTAATCTTGCAATATCCTTCAATTATTATGCTGAATGTGAAAATATCAGGAATCAATCCCTCTTTTTCAAATCCATTTAAAATTACAATGGCCTCATCTATTCTCCCTGAATTGCATAATCCCTGAATCAGTGTATTAAAAGTGAAATTATCGGGTTTAAGGCCTCGTTTAACCATGATTTCCTTGAGCTTAAATGCTTCTTCCAATCTTCCTTCCTTGCAAATTCCTGATATGAGGGTGTTAAAAGTTATATTATCCAAAACCACACCTTTTTCAATCATCAATTCTAGAATTTTGACGGCAAGTTTCGTACTTTGAGACCTGCAAAGCCCGTGAATTAAAGCGTTAGAAGTTATAATGTTAGGAAGAAAACCGTTCTCCGACAACTTGCACCAAACAGCAACAGCTTCCTGATGCCTCCCACTCTTACACAACTCGTTCATCAACACTGTCAGAAGACGGTCGTTCGGTCGTAATTTATGCGAAAGCATCTCCAAAAATAACGAAATTGCAGAACTAAGTCTTGAATTTGATCTCAAAATGGATGAAATGAGGAGATTGAAATCCCCAGAAACTAAGGGAATTTGATTCTTCAGCATTTCTTTGAATAAACTCTCTGCCTGTTCGATCTCTCCAGAATTACACAAACCATTCAAGATCATATTATAGGTGACTCGATTGGGCTTGATCCCTTTGACCATCATCTCCTCCTTCAACTTCAAAGCTTCTGCAAATCGCCCCATTCGAGAGTGGCCATCAACCATGGTGTTATAAATAAACTCATTAGGAGAAATACCCCTCTCCATCATCTCTTTGAATAGACGACCCACCTCCTCAAACCTATCTTCTCTAACAAGACTGTTCATGATAGACCTGTAAGTCAACACAGTAGGCTTCACGGATCTCTTCTCCATCTCCTCCTTCAAATCAATAGCTTCTTTCAGCATATTTTTCCTGCAAAGCCCATCGAGAAGGGCATTGTATGTAACCACGTTGGGAGAAACCCTAGCACGTTCCATTTCTCTGAACAAAGCAACGGCCTCCTTAATGTTGCCACTCTTACAATGCAAGTCAATGAGAGGGGTGTAAGAGAAAACATCAGGAGAAATAAACCTGCGCATTTCGTCGAACACCTTGAAGGCGTCGTCGCTCCGTTTGGCTCGGACCAGGTAACAGATGAGCAGATTGCAGGTTTTCAGTGTGGGGCAAAACGCACGGTCGAGGATTGATCGGAATGCATCGATGGCGAGCGTCGGTGTTTGGGAGAGCTGAGTGACGCAAACATGCACCAGCATGTCGATCGCTGGTTGTATAGAATCCTGCGGGGCGGCGACCGTGAGAGCATCAAATAGCTCGTGGAGACGACGATCTTGATCGTCGATGAAAACGGGAAGCGAGCTGGAGGGGTCGAGGAGGCGGATGAGGAGGAGGCGAGCGGGGGTAGCCATGCCGGAGCTGAGAAGGGAGTGAAGAAGCAGAGCATAGGAACGGAGGGTGAAAGAAAACCTACATTGATCCGAGGCGAAGGAGAAGAAGCTGAGGGCGACGTTGATGGGGACAGAGGGGAGGAGCTGGGTGAGAAGGACTTCGCATCGACGGGGTGATAGGCGTGATAGAAGCCGACGACAGATAGAATGATTGAAAGAGGGTCGAGAGAGCAGGAGACGAAAATCTGGAACTCCGACGGTGGGGGAGGCGGCGTCGTCGTCGTCCGGCAGTGGTGATGAGGCTGCGGAGGTGGAGGAGGAAGCACCGGTGGCTGAGAAGTGAGGGAGTTTAGAGGCCTGAAGGAAGGAAGACGGTGGCTGCCGTGTGCGGCGGAGGAGGATCATGCCAAAGTTGCAGGGTGGTCCGGAGACGGGGAATTAAAGCGGGGGTGAAGAAGGGGAGACTTTGGGTTGCCCCAATTGAGGGGTTGTTTTGCAAATAGATGAGAGCTATGGGGCTGAATATGAAAATGGAGAGGGGAATGGGGATGTTCTACCATTTGAGTCCAAATCAAACAATTAAAGTAGCTACAAAAGTCTTGGTGCATCAATTGAAAGGTTAAACGATCTCAAATTTTTGCATGTTGATAGTCATATGGATGAGAGTAGGGGTGTAAACGAGCCGAACACGAGCATCATGAGAGAGATCTGATGAGTTTAAGATCATTTAATTCTGATGTCATTAAATCACATAAATGCTTGAAAACAATTGCTTGCGATCGGTGGAATGAACATGGAACAACACATTGAATGTTTTAGGATTTTAGCCGAATTTATAAATATTTTCTCATTCATTACTTAAGGAGGGGTAGGAGAAGAAATGAGTGGGCTTACTACTAAAACTTTACCTCTTAAAGTCCTTCCACTTGTCGTCGTTCACTCAAGATTGCAACAGACCATCGGAGTTTGTCACCAACCATCAAAGGTGATTATCGACCATCAGCCATTGCCAACTACCACTAACCGTGGCTTTGATAGCTGTATTGCGACTATTATAGACTCATACAGCTATGATTTCTATGGCCAACTACAATTGTTATAAACCTTTAACCATGATTGGTAGCTCCATTATAAATATCATAGCCATCAATTGCATTTTTCCCCCACCATGATAATCGTAGTCAAACTACAACATTTATAATCTCAAGCACCATTACACAAATATATTAATTACATTATTTGAAAGCAATTATAATTTCAACATATACTTGTAATCCTATATTCCCTAATCCAGGTGAAGATTAGGGATCTACACTCTTGATTATATATTAACTTATTTTAATTAGACAAGGCCCCGCAGTCTTTTCTCCTTCTAGTGGTTTCTACATAAAGCAATTATAGCGTCTTCTCCAGCAATTTTTCTTTAATATGCGCTTGTGTTAGATCTTCGTGTATTGCTAAAATGTTAAATCATTAATCTACAGTCGTAAATTTTCGAGCACGCAATAAGCCTCAATTTAAAGAACATGGAAATATTTTATAGGCTTTAGGACTAAATTGGTTGCATAATTTCAGGAAACTATTTTAGAACTTATGTATTTACATATCTATCACCTCAAGTTCAACTTTTACATACATGCGACATTATGCATGTAATAGTGTATTTTATTCGTTAAAAGTTAAAATAAGAATGGTATAAATGTAAAAAAGTAAAATTTATATGTTCAATGTTTAAAAACATAAGAATGAAGTAATTATAAAGGGTCTTGTGTTGAATAATGTGAAGCTCATTTAAATAATTTTGTAATTATTTAATTATTTAAATTATCATATAAATTTGAATGAAATTTTCAGAATATGATATAAAAATTATTTACATTACTTAAAGGTATAAGCATTATAAAATTAGTAGTTAATACATGATTTAAAGATTTGAATATAAATTTATTGATTAATATTAGATAATATGGATATTTTTTATTATAAAAATATTCAAAATAATGATGATTTAATCGTTGTTAATTTTAATTAAAAATTATAATTATATTTATTTTTATAAATAAAATTTTTCATTTAAATCATTAACATGTTGCATAATTAGATTCCATTAAAATTTGATTATTGCTCCAATTTGATTAAAATATATTAAAAAAATTGAATTAGATTTTAAAAGATTGAAGTGCTAAAATAGTTCCATGAAAGAATGCGGCCAATTTAGTCCTAAAGTCTATAAAATATCTCCATGTGCTTCACATTGAGGTTTATTGCGTACTCGAAAATTTACGACTGTAGATTGATGATTTAACATTTTAGCATTACACGAAGATCCAACACAAACACATATAAAAGAAAAATTGCTGGAAAAGATGCTATAATTGTTTTATGTCGAAACCCTTAGAAGGAGAAAAGACCAAGGGGCCAATCTTCACCTCAATTAGAGACTATAGGATTACAAGCATATGTTGAAATTATAATTGCTATGAAATAATCTAATATATATGTTTGTGTAGTGGAACTTGAGATTATAACTTTTGTAGTTTGACTACAATTATCGTGGTAAGGCTATAACAATCGTAGTTAATTATAAAAGTTGCAATTGATGGCTATGATAGTTATAGAGTTACCAAAGTCATACTTAAAGATTTATAACAATTGTAGTTGGTCATATAAACCATAGTCTGATGATGTTATAATAATCGTAGTTGAGAGCTATCAGAGCAACGGTTAGTGATGCTTGACAACTGCTACATACATGAGCCACAAAAGCCATAATTGTATCTATGTCCATACAAACCACTTAATTTTAACTTGTAATGAATAAAATACACCATTACATGCATAATGTCACATGTATGTAAAAAAAAAAAAAAAAATTTAACCATCAAATTATAATTCGGCAGATTTTTAAAGTCGATTATATGAATTTGCAAAAATAAAATAAAGTATTAAGGTACATTTACATGCATACCACAAAATCCATATGAATTTGCATATCTAACACCTAAACTTTAAATTTTACATTTCTAGCACAACTTACTTGGCACATAAAAATATAACTACCATTAACTTCTTTTTAAGCTACATTACATCTTTTGATGCATGAATAAGGCGATATTAATATAAATATTGAGGTTCATGTGTTACATTGTGAGGCATGTATGAAAACTACCAAATATATCATTTTTTTAGTGGTATTTACATACATAAGACCCAATTACTATATATTTACATATCTAGCACCTAAAATACCCCTTATTTTTTAATTTTTATAGCAGACAAATCTTTCATACCACCATTTCTAACTTCTAAATACTGAAAAATACATTTTCATGTATGAGTAAGATGGCATGTATGTAAAAAATTAGAGTATAGGCATTAGATATGTAAATACATACAAATTGAGTGGTCTGTAATTCTTCCAGTATTTTCATGTAAAAATAAAAAATAAAAAAAGAATAAGCCTAAAAAATGTCAAAAGTTTAGAAGCTGGCATAGGTTCGTTTGGGGTTGCTGCAGTTTTGTCTATTTGGATAAATTACGCTTTGGTAGCTTTTCACTGCATTTTGACAGCTTTTTCAAAAAGTTGTCCCTAAAGCCTGCATTTTCCCACCACTACTGGCTAGGTGTGGTGGTAGTTTTTTAGCTATGATCTGACTTAAAAAAACTTGTAATAACCACCGTAGCTTTTTTTGAGCAACAAATTATCATTCAACAGTTTCACAGCTGTTTTTCAATAAATTGCAGCAGCTTCAAACAAAATTGAATAATCATGCATAAACTGGGATTTGAAGCTTTTAGGGCTTAAACTACTCTACTTAAAGATAAGGAGATATTAAGCATCTATTCTTTGGAGGCAATTGCATAAATACCATCCAATTCCTATGTACTTTACATATCTGACACCTAAACTTTGCTTCTTACATTCTTTTCAAAAAATTGCAACAGCTTTAGACAAAATTGAATAATCATGCATAAACTGGTATTTGAAGCTTTTAGGGCTTAAACTACTCTACTGAAAGATAAGGAGATATTAAGCATCTATTCCTTGGAGGCAATTGCATAATTACCATCCAATTCCTATGTACTTACATATCTGACACCTAAACTTTGCTTCTTACATTTATATCGCTCAAATCTTTAATATCACATCAAAAATACCATTATTTAAAGTGAATTATGCCTTTTCATTCATTGGTAAAATAGTATATATGTAAAAATTATAAATTTGGTGTAAAGATATGTAAATACATGGGAATTAGAGTGTTAGCATGTAAATCTTACTAAGCTGACATGGTATGGTGCTAAGTGATTTGAAGCTTTTAGGGCTTAAACTACTGGAAGAGAAGGAGATATTAAGCATGTATTCTTCGGCAGCAATTGCATACATACCATCCAATTCCTACGCATTTACATATCTGACGCCTAAACTGAGCTTTTTACATGTATACCGCTCAAATCATTCATATCCGAAGAGAAGGAGATATTAAGCATGTATTCTTTGGCAGCAATTGCATACATACCATCCAATTCCTATGAATTTACATATCTGACGCCTAAACTTCGCTTTTTACATGTATACCGCTCAAATCATTCATATCACATAGAAGATACCACCAATTGTGAAATACGTCTTTTCATGCATAGATAAGATAGTCTGTGTATGTGTGTACATGCATACATCACACACACACACACACACACACACATCCATACATGCATATATACCTACATATTGGTATTTGAGAATGCTGCTCCCCATATGGGGTATCAGTCCCCATAGGGATCGAACCTGGGTCAGAGAGGTCTTACGACTGACAACACAACTGCTTATCATTGTGTGTGTTTGTGTGTGTGTGTGTGTGTGTAAAAAATTGATATTTGAGGATACTGCTCCTCATATGTGTTATCAGTCCCCATAAAGATCGAATATGGGTCAGAAGGGTCTTATGACTGACAACACAACTACTTACCATTGTGTATATGCGTGTGTGTGTGTAAAAAATTAAAGTTTCAGTGATAAATATATAAAAACATAGGAATTGAGTGGTACGTATGTAAATCTAACAATTTTTCCATGTAAAAAAAAAAATCAAAAAAAAAAAAAAAACCTAACAATGACAAAAGTCTAGATGCTGATATATAAATCTAGTAACCATATAATATTTAATTAATATACAAATAGAGGATTCTACAATATATCCTCTCATATTAGAATTTCATATAAGATTAAAGATGCAAATACATACCTTCATAGCAAGAGCATGTCGCACCAAAGGTCTCTCAATAATGGCCGTCTAATTACATCATTGACAAACAACATCGACGGCTATGATCGGCTTACTCTCGGCGATTAATATCTCAGAAAATGATACATTTCTCTAATATTATTATGGGGCATTTACATAAGTATCAATCAATTCTTATGCATTTACATATCTAACATCTAAACATATTCATATTTACATGCAGATCATTTAAATCTTTGACATTGCATGAAATGTCCTGCAATCATTAGATTTTTAAGAGTTGATGACACCCGAGTGTTATAAGTGTAAATATCAAATTACATAAAAAAATCATTAAATAAAATTAAAATTAACAGTTACTTGAGGTTGATTAAACTAGCACAAAAATATAATAAAATATAAAAGGAAGATTTATATATCACTCAATTCTTACATATTTACATATCTAACACCGAAATTTTAATTTTTTACATATATGCCACCTTGCCTATGCATAAAAAAGTTGTATTTCACTCTTTAAAGTTATAAGATATAAAAGTTTTGGGTGTCAGAATTGTGAAAAACAAAGTTTAGATGATAGATATGTAAATACCAATGAATTAGGTGGTATGTATGGAAAAAACAAAGTTAAGAATATACCAATTATAACCTTTGGATGACTCATAGTGAGTTGATCAACCAGCTGATCTTCGCGAAAATCTTATCGAAATGAATCAGGTGCTTTCGGACACGATAGCAGTGGACCGAGTAGAGTGTGGCAGCTGAACTTACTAGGATGAAAGATAAGATCACTAACTGGCCAAAATCCTGATGGGTGGAGAGCAATTTGAACAAAGAAAAAAAAATGTTCAGATACAAGTTTATATAAAAAGAAAATTTACATACATACCGATCAATTTTTATGTATTTGCATATCATATTTAAACACCTAAACCTCAATTTTTACATACATGCCACCTTCCTTAAGTATGAAAGGTGTATTTCACTTTTTAAAAGTTAAAATAATGTTATTTTGATGTGATATGAAAGATTTGGGTGGTAAACATGTAAAAAGTAATGTTCAGGTGTTATATATGTGAATAAATAAGAATTGGGTGGTATGTATGTAAATGCTCCATGAATGAAAGGAAGGTTTACAAAAATACCACTCATTTTTCATGTATTTGCATATCTAACACCAAAACTTCAATTTTTACATACATACTGCCTTACCTATGCATGTAAAGGTGCATTTCACATTTGAAAAGTCAAACCGGTGGTATTTTTTTAAGTGATATGAAAGATTTGAGTGGCATAAGTGTAAAAAGTAAAGTTCAAGTCTCACATATGTAAATACATTGGACATGAGTGGTATGTATGTAAATGCCCCATAAAAGGAAGATTTGCATACATACCATTCAATTCTCATGCATTTGCATATCTAACACCTAAACTTCAATTTTTACATACAAGTCACTTCACTTGTGCATGGAAAGCTGTATTTCACATTTTAAAAATTGAAATGGTGATATTTTTGCTGTGATATGAAAGGTTTGGGTGGTATAAATGTAACAAAGTAAAGTTTAATACATAGGAATTGGGAGGTATGTATGGACATGCCCCATATATGAATTCTTTTAAGAGTTCAGTGTAGATGACCTACCCTTGGATCTGAAACAATTAACCCCATAACGTAAGTAAGCAAATCCAGAAAGGACTGAAGCGAGCTCTGAACTCCACCAACAATGCATCTGTCAGCTTCAGAGACTTGGTCCTGTTTGATCAAACAATATAGCAGCTCAGTAGCAGTAATTGATATTTCTATAGACTTCACAAATCAGAAAAAGAAAGTCCAATTTGACATAAAAAAATACAGGGAAATTACATACATACCACACATTTTTTATGTATTTATTACATATCAAGCGCCGAAGTTTGATAAAAAAGTTTAAATATTAGCATGTAAATATGTAAGAAATGTGTGGCATGCATGTAAATATGAGAGTTTAGGTTTATCACATTATTCACCTGATCAACAAGCACCCCACTAAAGAATTATAAATATAAATATACGAGTTTAAATATTAGATATGTAAATACATAAAGAATTGTGTGGTATGTATGTAAATTTCCCAAATTCAATACCTGCATTAGTTGCGTAACACCAAGATCAAACATCCATAATCCAAGCCGTGACGCAGCAACTCCGCCCATTAGTATCCATGCCGAAGCAATGCCGTTGCTCACCCAAATGGACGCCAAACATATTAACAGAAAACACCACTGCAACAGAAGTAATAGCCACTACAGTCTTCTTCACCATTAATAAAATGGGGCATTTACATACATAGAACACAATTCTTATGTATTTACATATCTCAAACTTAAACTTTCATATTTACACACATAGGTGTGTAAATATGAAAGTTTGGATGTGAGATATGTAAATACATAATCGAGTGCTAATAATACCATCACATCATGCATGGGTTTATTGTACCAAAGTCTTATATTTATAACTATATAAGAGTTGTGTGGTATGTATGTAAATTTCCCAATTTTTTATCATGCTTTAAAAATATTAGGGAAATTTACATACGTAGCACTCAATTCTTATGGATTTATGTATCTCGCACCTAAACTTTGATATTTATCTATGTATGAAAAAGTAGATTTGACCATTAAAAGGTGTAATTAGTCCATGTGACATGAAAGAATTGGGTGTTATGCATGTAAAAATGAAAGTTTTGGGTGCCATGTATGTAAATGCCCCAAAATATAAATGTAAAATCCATATGAGTTTTTTTCCATTCAACATTTTGAAAATAAAAACTCAAAATAGTCAACATCCACAGCCTAAATAACATGCACAGAAGAGTACCTGTGTCCATATAGACCATAGTCCAGTCCGCAGCGTTGAAATGCGAGAATGTAAAATTGGATAAACGACGGTCGCCATAATTCCGATAATGGCACTAATCCCCCTTGCTATGCCGATGATGTAGGCTGGGATGCCTTTCCACTCCAATGTGGCTGTCATTAGTGTCCCAAAACTGGAATGACATGCAAAACTTAGGCTCTAAATGGGGGTAATAATCAGGGGAAAAAAAAGGTTTAGAACGTGGCCATAGGTCCGCGGTCACTACTATGCCGCCGCGGTTTGGTTCGTGTTCGGCAGAAGGCTCTATTCAAACATGAATTTTCACGATTTGGTTCACAACTCAGTTCAAAACGCTCAAACAAATTTGCTATTAATTATCATTTGTTTTTGTCCCGTGGAAAATTTGGTTGATATTGATCATATGAGTAATTGTCTGAGAACATTAACAATATGATAAATTTACACACACAACACAATTCTTATGTAATTAAATATACACACTTATTATAACATCTTGGTCTCATAAACCTATGCATGAAAATGTGTATTTTACTCTTAAAAAGATAGTAAAGGAGATATTTTTTATGTGAAGTAAACGATTTGAGTGCTATGTAAATATGAAAGTTTGAGTGTTAGACATGTAATTACATAAGAATTGTGAGATATGTACGTAAATTGCCCTAATAAAAAATGATGGGCTTGGTATTGATCCAATAATGTATTTTATTTGTCTTGCTCAAAGAAAGTAATTTTTTATGTGCATGTGTACGTGTATTATTTTTATACAAATCATTAGCCAGCTGAATACGGTCAAGTAAAGGTCTGTTTATGTTTGGTCGGTTTAAAAATGAGCTCAAATTATTTGTTTAAGCTAAGTTCATTGTCAGAGTGAGTGAGTGAAATACGATCTTCTTAGTGAGGCAAAGGTCATAAACACGAGCTTTTTATAGCTCTACTGTTAAGTCAGCCTAGTGAATTTGTATAATCATTCATAGATCATGTGCATGAGTTGCATGAAAATATTAACAGGAAATCAACTATTGTTGTGAACTTGAGGTATATGCAGCATAAACCATATGATTAGATGGTGGTGTGCCTAAATCATTAAAAATTCTAAAATATTTTATAAGAAATTAAACGCCAAAAAAATATGTCCATTTAGTATAATGCAGTGTATGGGGACAAATGTTTATAAATTAAAAGTCAAGAAAGTTCTAGCATTAGTCCATTCTTAAGTGCATATGATTTGACTTTATTTCATTAATCTATAACAAATGTCTTTGGATTTCGATACACCGATCCTCCAAGGATCACGCACGAAGGGAGAGGAAAGCACTACACCAGTATCTAGTGTGAACCAGTACTTGGAAGAAAGGGATAGGATATTGGCATAACTCAAACGACATCTATTGAGGGTCTGACATACCATGAAGAGGAAGGTGGATGGACACAATAAGAAGGTATAATTTGTACCGGAAGGCACGGTTTATTTGAAGCTGAGACCTTACTAGCAGAAGAAACTATCCAGGGGAAGTGAGAAGCTTCTCCACATTATTTTTGATGCTAAGAGATTGTGGCAAGCATTGGGACCGTGGCAAAAAAATATGTCCATTTAGTATAATGCAGTTTATGGGGACAAATGTTTATAAATTAAAGGTCAAGAAAGTTCTAGCATTAGTTCATTCTTAAATGCATATGATTTGACTTTATTTCATTAATCTATAACAAATGTCTTTGGATTTTGATACACCGATCCTCTAAGGATCACGCACGGAGGGAGAGGAAAGTAAGGGAGATTTGGGGGGGAAGTTTGAATGTATATTGGGGAGTACTTATTAGGGCTAATTAGCTAAGGTTTGCTTTAAGTTATGTTTTGCTGCAGTTTTTCCTTTGGAGTCTTGCTTCTAGCGGTGTCTAGGATTTGCAGAGATATAATTTATTTCTCGAATTGTGGATCAATCTTGTCTCTTGTTGTTTTGTTTGGAAATTGACAAAAATATCCCTAATTTTGGCTTTTCCACTTATTCCGTGTCATCTGTTCACTGATTTTGGTTGAGAGCATGATATTGGAGAGATGGTAGTACGAAAAGTAGATGCTTTGGAAAAGAGGTTGGAAGGAGAAGTAGAACAACTGAAATCCGGATTGGAGGAAAGAGTCTCAACCATAGAAAAAATGTTTTCTTCCATGGAAAACCGATTTGAAGGACAATTTGAGGTGTGGAGGAGATGTTGAGGAGGCTTAATCCAAAACCCCGCAAGCAGCTCCATCTGTAAACCTTAACTAAGGTTTGATCGGAAAATCTTTGATAAAATCAAAAGGAAAATAAAATCGAACGAGAGGAACATCAGGACGAAGGTATCTACCATCAAGAACCCCCTCCTAGGACTCCAAGAGAGAGAGCATTAGAGATTTCTAGCAGAGGGGGTTAGGCCGAAACAGGGAGGGTTTATGCAGGGAGTTTTGGAGGAGCACATAGAAAGAAAGAGAGAAACTGGAATGGGATATGGCTATGATCGAAAGAGGGAGTTTCGCCCTGGATATATGAGGGGAAATACCAAGATGAGAGGATAGGAAGTTGAAAATACCAATCTTCGAGGGAAAAGACACACATGGATGGGTGTATCATGTGGAGTAATACTTCTAGGTGAATGGGCTAAATGGAGAGAAGAAGGTCAAGGCAACAGGACTATGTTTGGAGGGGAAAGCTCTGCAAAGTTCCAATGGATGGAGAAGAGATACCTGATTTGTTCGTGGGAAGAAAAATGATTGTTTGTTGGAACATTTTCGAGCCATTCAGAAAAAAAGACCTACAAGAGCAATTCTATATATTGACTATGGAGGGAACTATCATGGAATATAGAGAGATTTGAGCTATTATTGGGACAACTGAGGGAAATTTCTGAAGCAGGATTGGAGGAGAACCTCATGAAATTCTTAAAGGCTGAAATACGGGCAACACTCCAACCATAGAGGCCGCAAGGATTAAGGGAGATGATGGACCTTGCCCAAATGGTGGAAGACAAGAAGTAGAAGAAGAAGACCAGCAAAAGCAGCAATATTGGAAGATTCCACAAGAGTACCTCAATGACCATGGCACCGAGAACCCATATGGTGTCACTTCAGAAAGAAACCGAATGAGAGAAATGTGGGGGCCCATCCCAGGGTCAAATTTAAGTGCCCCGTGGAGGTAGAGTGCAAGACAAGAAAGCAAAGAGATTATATTTTTTATGTGATGAGAAGTGTGTCTCAGGCCACTGGTGCAAAGAGAGCATGCTACATGTCGTAATTTGTGAGGAGTAGGAGGCAAAAAGTGGGAGTCAGAGGTAGAGGAGGACTTGCATTGAATGTAGTGGAGGTGTCCTTCAACTCAATGGCGGGCTTTACTCCAAATTATACCATGAAAGTGAGGGGACAAATTGGGAGCAACATGGATAGTGGGACCCCTTGATTTTATATAAAATCGGGTTGTGGATCAGCTAGGGTTGACACTGGTAGATATGAAAAGCTTTGGGATTATGATGGAGACAAGAAAGATGAAGAAAAGTTGGGGAATTTTCAAGGTATAAAGGTTGATAAAACAAGGCTCACAGGTGGCAGATGACTTCCTTGGACTTGGGAAGCACTAATGTAATTCTGCGAATGAAGCGGCTACAGACGATTGAAGAGGCGAAGGTCAATTAGAAATCTTTGAATATAGAGATTCAGGTGGAGGGAAGGAAGGTGGTGCAGAGAGGAAATGCTAGCCTATGAAGAACCTTGGTCTCACTCAAAATTATAGTTGAGGAAGCTATAAAGTATAGAGAAAACTCGAGTGCCAAAGTCGATGGAATTCTTGAAGTGTGATCAATAGCTTCTACATCAATTTTCAGACATTTTTCAACCGCCTAGTGGGCTACTGCCACCAAGAGAGCATGAGCGTGTCATTATATTTAAGGAAGCAGTTCCTCCTATCAATGTCAAATCATATTGATATCCCCAGATTCAGAAGGATCAGATAAAAAAATTGATCTGAGAGATGCTCGAAGTAAGGATTATCATTTCTAGTGCGAGCTCCATTTTCATTCAAGTTCTATTGGTGAAGAAAAAGAATGATAGCTAGAGATTTTGTGTGGACTACACGACTTTGAATAAAGAAATTATATCGGACAAGTTTTCTATTCTGGTGATTGATGAACTTTGGATGATTTTTATATAGCAATTATCTTCTCGAAAATCGATCTGAAATTGAGATACCATAAGATTAGGATGAATCCAGCTGATGTGCACAAGATAGAGTTCATGACTCATGAAGGAAATTATGAGTTTTTGGTGATGTCGTTCGGCCTTACCAATGCTCCAGCCACATTCCAATCTCTATGAATAAGGTTTTTCAGACTTATCTCAGGAAGTTCATTGTGGCATTTTTTGCTGACATCATGATCTACAGTCGTATAAAGACAAAGCATACGGGACACCTGAGGACAATATTGAAAACGTTAAGAGAGCACCAGTTATATGCCAACTTGAAGAAATATTCTTTACACAGTCACAAGTGGAGTACATAGGGTATGTGGTGACCTAGGCAGGGTAGCAACAGATCAGTCCAAGATCGAAGCTATGTTGAACCAGCCTTTGTCGAGGAGCAAGGAATTGAGAGGATTCTTAGGCCTCATCGGATACTAACAAAAATTCATGAAAGAGCATGGCTATTGACCGAGCAACTGAAGAAAGGCAGTTTCAAGTGGGTGGAATCAACAAAACAAGCTTTAGAACAATTGAAGAGAGTCATAATCAGCATTTTGGTATTAGCACTTCAAGACTTCAAGGCCATTTGAGATAAAGACGGATGCATCAAGATATGGATTGAGGACGATGCTCATGCAGGACCAGTAGCCTATTGCCTATTTTAGAAAGGTAATTACGATCATGGCAAGGCTCAAGTCCGTGTACGAGCAGAAATTCAATGTTATTATCTTAGCTATTCAGAAGTGGCATCCCTATCTGTTGGAAAGACACTTTATAGTCAGGACAAGTCAAGGAGCCTGAAGTACCTGTTGGAGCGGAGGATGGTGACTGAGGAGCATTAAATGTGGCTATCTTAGTTACTTGAATGTGATTTTGAGATCCAATACTACTCGGGGTTAGAGAAAAAAACCAGGGATGCATTATCGAAGAAGGTGGAAGAGCCCCAG